TTTCAACGTTTATTTATTTTTGGGACAGAGAGAGACAGAGCGCTTTTTTGTTCTTTCTTAAGGTTGATTTGGCTATCTGGGATCTTTTGTGGTTCATACAAATTTTAGGATTATTTGCGAACGTTTCTTGAAAAATGCTATTGGTATTTTCGCTGTGGGTAGTATGGACATTTTAACAGTATTCTTCCACTCCATGAGCATAGTATATCTTTCTGTTTACTTTTGTTGTCTTCAATTTCTTTCAATGTCTTAAAGTTTTCAGAGTACAGGTCTTTTACTTCCTTGGTTAAGTTCATAGGTACAGTATTCTTTTTTGATTCAATTGTAAATGGGAATGTTTTCTTAATCCCTCTTTCTGCTTTCTTATTTAGTGTATAGAAACGTAATAGATTTCTGTATATTAATTTTGCATCCTGCAACTTTACTGAATTCATTTTATTCTAATAGTTTTTTTGGTGGAGTCTTTATATATAGTATCACATCATCTGCAAGTAGTGAAAGCTTTACTCCATTATAATTTAGATACCTTTAATTTCTTGTCTACTTGGTGTGGTTAGGACTTCCGATACCACATTGAATAAAAGTGGTAACAGTGGGCATCCTTGTCTTCTTGATCAACAGGAAAAGGTTTCAGCTTTTCACCATTGAGTATTATGTTTGCTGTGGATTTTATCATATATGGCCTTTATTATGTTGAGGTACAGTCCCTCCATACCCGTTTTGCTGAGTTTTTAATCATAAATGAATGTTGAATTATGTCAAATGCTTTTTGTCTATTTTAATCATATGATTTTTATCCTTCAATTTATTAATATGGTGTATCACATTGATTTATTTGTGAGCATTAAATCATCCCTGCATGCCTGGAATGAATCCCACTTGGTTATGATGTTTGGTCTTTTTAGTGTATTGTTGAACTTAGCTCATATGTTGAGGATTTTTACATCTATGTTCATCAGAGATACTGGCATGTAATTTTGTGTTTTTTTTCTGATTTTGATATTACGGCAATGCTGGCCTCGTAAAATTAGTAAGTGTTCCTTCCTCTTTAGCTTGGAATAATTTAAGAAGGGTAGTTATTAATTCTACTATTTAGAGCATGAGCACCAAATATGATGACTGTCAGCTCCATCATAAGCAAGTTAGGATGAGATTGCAAAAATAGTGTCTTTGTGAGGACGAAGTGCTGGCTGGCAATGTCCCTACGGGTTCCTGCTTCTCCTGTA